CTTGTGTCTCTCTCCCTTCCCCAATCTCACACTTTGTGTCTCTGTCTCTTCCCTGATCTCACACTTTGTGTCTCCCTCACTTCTCCAATCTCACACTTTGTGTCTCCCTCCCTTCCCCGATCTCACACTTTGTGTCTCTCCCTTCCCCGATCTATCACTTTGTGTCTCTCTCCCTTCTCCAATCTCACACTTTGTGTCTCTCTCCCTTCTCCAATCTCACACTTTGTGTCTCTCTCCCTTCCCCAATCTCACACTTTGTGTCTCCCTCCCTTCTCCAATCTCACACTTTGTGTCTCTCTCCCTTCTCCAATCTCACACTTTGTGTCTCCCTCCCTTCTCCAATCTCACACTTTGTGTCTCCCTCCCTTCTCCAATCTCACACTTTGTGTCTCCCTCCCTTCTCCAATCTCACACTTTGTGTCTCCCTCCCTTCTCCAATCTCACACTTTGTGTCTCCCTCCCTTCTCCAATCTCACACTTTGTGTCTCCCTCCCTTCTCCAATCTCACACTTTGTGTCTCCCTCCCTTCTCCAATCTCACACTTTGTGTCTCCCTCCCTTCTCCAATCTCACACTTTGTGTCTCCCTCCCTTCTCCAATCTCACACTTTGTATCTCTCCCCCTTCCCCAATCTCACACTTTGTGTCTCTCTCCCTTCCACGATCTCACACTTTGTGTCTCTCTCCCTTCCCCGATCTCACACTTTGTGTCTCTCCCTTCTCCGATCTCACACTTTGTATCTCTCTCCCTTCCCCAATCTCACACTTTGTGTCTCTCTCCCTTCTCCGATCTCACACTTTGTGTCTCTCTCCCTTCCCCGATCTCACACTTTGTATCTCTCTCCCTTCCCCGATCTCACACTTTGTGTCTCTCTCCCTTCCCCGATCTCACACTTTGTGTCTCTCTCCCTTCCCCGATCTCACACTTTGTGTCTCTCTCCCTTCCCCGATCTCACACTTTGTATCTCTCTCCCTTCCCCGATCTCACACTTTGTGTCTCTCTCCCTTCCCCGATCTCACACTTTGTGTCTCTCTCCCTTCCCCAATTACACACTTTGTGTCTCTCTCCCTTCTCCGATCTCACACTTTGTATCTCTCTCCCTTCCACGATCTCACACTTTGTATCTCTCTCCCTTCCCCAATTACACACTTTGTGTCTCTCTCCCTTCTCCGATCTCACACTTTGTATCTCTCTCCCTTCCACGATCTCACACTTTGTGTCTCTCTCCCTTCCACGATCTCACACTTTGTGTCTCTCCCTTCTCCGATCTCACACTTTGTGTCTCCCTCCCTTCTCCAATCTCACACTTTGTGTCTCCCTCCCTTCTCCAATCTCACACTTTGTGTCTCCCTTCCTTCTCCAATCTCACACTTTGTGTCTCCCTTCCTTCTCCAATCTCACACTTTGTGTCTCCCTCCCTTCTCCAATCTCACACTTTGTATCTCTCCCCCTTCCCCAATCTCACACTTTGTGTCTCTCTCCCTTCCACGATCTCACACTTTGTGTCTCTCTCCCTTCCCCGATCTCACACTTTGTGTCTCTCCCTTCTCCGATCTCACACTTTGTATCTCTCTCCCTTCCCCAATCTCACACTTTGTGTCTCTCTCCCTTCTCCGATCTCACACTTTGTGTCTCTCTCCCTTCCCCGATCTCACACTTTGTGTCTCTCTCCCTTCCCCGATCTCACACTTTGTGTCTCTCTCCCTTCCCCGATCTCACACTTTGTGTCTCTCTCCCTTCCCCGATCTCACACTTTGTGTCTCTCTCCCTTCCCCAATTACACACTTTGTGTCTCTCTCCCTTCTCCGATCTCACACTTTGTATCTCTCTCCCTTCCACGATCTCACACTTTGTATCTCTCTCCCTTCCCCAATTACACACTTTGTGTCTCTCTCCCTTCTCCGATCTCACACTTTGTATCTCTCTCCCTTCCACGATCTCACACTTTGTGTCTCTCTCCCTTCCACGATCTCACACTTTGTGTCTCTCCCTTCTCCGATCTCACACTTTGTGTCTCCCTCACTTCTCCAATCTCACACTTTGTGTCTCCCTCACTTCTCCAATCTCACACTTTGTGTCTCCCTCACTTCTCCAATCTCACACTTTGTGTCTCTCTCCCTTCTCCGATCTCACACTTTGTGTCTCTCTCCCTTCTCCGATCTCACACTTTGTGTCTCTCTCCCTTCACCGATCTCACACTTTGTGTCTCTCAAAGTGGTAGGAGGAAGGAGAATAGGAGAAGGGAGGAGGGGATTGATTTGCCTATTCTGTGCCTGTAGGTTTGTGGAGACACAGCTTACTAGTACACATAAGGGCGGCTCCATAGGACCCTACAAGGAATAGGATATGATTCTTCAGGAAACTAAAACTAAGACAGTTATTCACAAAAGGGTGACGAGTTTGGGGAAGGCAGGAGAAGTGAACAATCTAGGACAACATAGCTGAACTGGAAAGTGAGCTGAATTGGAGAACTTTTCCAAATCACCATCATTGTTCACGTCTCCTGCCTTCTCCAAACTCTTCACCCTTTACTGAATAACCCTGTCAGTGTTTGTAAAGCATGCATTGTAAGTGATTTTATCAGCATTTTGCCTTTAATATCACTTTACGTTTTTGTCTCTCTCTCTCTCTCTCTTTCTTTAGTCTTCATGATTCTTCCCAAAATTACTCCATACCCGCTGGTCAGAACTGGCTGCTGATTCGCCGGGAAAATTTAATCTTTAATCACAAGTATCAGCTCAGCGTAAGTGGAGGAACCTGGAAGGAGACGCTGAACCTCACCTTCTGCCATGGATGTGAGAACGGTATGACAGTTGATCGGGGACCTTAGCTGTGGGGCTTTTATTGTCTGCAGACCATACAAAGTGCATTTATCATTCTACAAAGATTGTTTAAGATTTAAATTGCTCATAATCTGTAGTATTTAGTGGTACAGAGGAAGTATACCCACCACCTACAGTACTACAACAAATATGCCCATTATATTATTTTGACCAGTTTTAGTTCTATCCTATGCCATTGAAAGGTTTGGCTGCAGCGGCGAATGCATGGCCAAACCCATAAAGATCAATCCATCCTAGTTAGAGCCTACATCAAGTCACGTTTTCCAGTGATACCCATTTTAACATCTCAGTTCTTTTTTCTATTGTGTGGGCACCAAAGCAGCTGTGTGGGCTAAAAAGTCAGCCAGTGTGTTGCATTTTATGCAAGAGAACCAACTTTTGTTTCATTTTCTACCAGTAAAAAACTAAACTGTGGGTGCTGGTTGGCATTTTCCCCCTAGTCCAGTACTAGTAGTGACATATTGTATGTTTGGCTGGTGGCCAGGAATGGAGATACTTCACCATTTAAACACTGATGAGTGCGGGACCCGCTGTCAGTGGCACATGCTGGACATAAAAAACCTTCCTCCTTCAGACCTGCAATCGAAGTGTCTGGCACAGGGGGGATCTTCCAGCACCAACTTCCTTTAATTCTCAGAGATGTCATGTAACTAAATGCCAAGAACTGCAAGTAAGCAGATGCTGGAAGACAGGGTCAGATCAGGTAGGCAGTGCAGGGTGCCCCCTTTTTACAGCAGCAGATCACAGTGCCTGTGAGTGGTTTCAATAGGACGTGGAACAGGGGCGGACTTAGGGTTGCCACCTTTTCTTCAGGCCAAACCCGAACACTATAGCGCTTCACGGCAATTTGTTTGTACAGTATACACTATGCATGTATTTTGTAAATAAACGATATTTGAGTTAATCATAACTTACCAGTATGCCGCAGGTCCCCAGATATGCATTCTGTAGATAAGTGTACAAAGCAGTACCCATATACCTTGCCGCAGTTCTTACCAGATATGCCAAAAGTAACGGGTGCTGGTAATGACTGCGGATGGCGCTGCTCACAACAGAACAACAATACAGATGTCTCCAGCACACCGGCACCAAGATCCCATGTTACTGCAAATCCATTTTATTGATAGTTGTCATTCCTAAGACAAGCACTTTCTGGGCTGCGCTGCGTCCCCTTCATCAGGCTCAGAAATTATATTCTATTATGTCCATATAAAAGTTGTGGCCCTTTTATGTAATGTTATTTCTGAGCCTGATGAAGGGGACCCGGCGCGGCCCAGAAAGCGCTTGTCGTTTGAATGACAACTACCAATAAAATGGATTTGCAGTAACATGGGATCTTGGTACCGGTGACATCTCTTTTGAAATGGTGTTGGGCATGCTCGGGGAAGGGGGGGCAGGTGTAGGGAGGTGTAAAGTGAACCAGTCACAAGAAAGCTGATACAAAAATCTGAAATAAGTAGTGCTACAATCATGGCACAGCGGGTTTGTTGCCTCTAGGCTTTAGCTTGGCTTTAGGTGCCAGGAACATGGTTTTGGCAGTTTTTGCTGAAGATCTCCCAGGCGTGAGGGCAATGCCCTACCTTATGTCCAACCCCCCTTCGTGTTTGCATATCTACTTTTTCTGCACCAGGATCCTCCTGCTGAAAGATACCTGTGTCAGTAGCAGAAACAGTGCAGTTTGTAGTGTCCATCTTGAAATTTAAATTGTTCAAATTAAAGCTAGCATAACCTCATATGCTATACACTTCACCTAGCATCCTTTTTTGTTAGGGTACAGAATGCTCCTTTCTGCCTAGCATCCTTTGTTGCTAGTATGCAAATGACCTGAGCCACCTAGCATCCCTTGTTGCTAGTATGCAGATGGCCTGAGCCACCTAGCATCCTTTGTTGCTAGGATACAGAATGCTCCTTTCTACCTAGCAGCCATTGTTGCTAGGATACAGGTTGCTCCAGTCACCTAGCAACCAATAGGACACTTTTGTGCCATATGTTGTATCCATGTATATTTAGAACAAACATTACTGGACAGGAAGACATTAGCTGTGTACAGGAAAATGTTAATTAATATGGGGGTTTTTTCAGTCTTTCAACCGTCCTTTGTTTTGCAGTGTTCATTGGGGCCCCAATCCTCCATTCTACTGTCCATGAAGAAGAAGATGACACCTTGGTGGTGACTGTGACATGGAAATACGTAAAGGAGCACTCACACCCTCCAGTGGTAGAGTTGAGGTACCGCATCCTGGGAGCCACAGACTGGACTCTGGTAGGTGTATTACAGTGTCTTTACAGCAGATGTAACCTTATGTCATTTTAGGGTTACTGTGTATAATAAAAAATCGTCATTATGCTCCATAAAAACAGTTTCCACTTTTTTTTATTTCCATCTTTTGCTTAATTTCACTGCTGCTGATCTCCTGCAACCCCCTTGCAGCCACTTTCCGTCTACCTGCAAACCAGTGATGGTTTCATGTAATTCCTTATGGAGGGTTTCCTGACAGTGACAATAGTGGACCATGCTGGACTACAGTGTGTTGGCACGGCCACTTGAAGTCTCACCTGGGAGATCATGTCACAGGGTGACAACGTAGAAGACAGTGTGTTGTCATCCTGTAAGATTTATTCATTTAAAATCTCCAAGATGAACGCGGCTATATGAGAGAAATTAGTTGATGGCAGTTTCGTATCTAGGGTATGGCACATATGGGACATGATGCCCTGGGCACCACATGAAAAATTTGACTGATCCATGGAGGCACTAGACTTTTTGTCTATCCCACCCCTCTCCTATACACATCTCCCCACTCAGCTCTTATCAACGATGTGGTCTAGGTATAATACTATTAATCCTGAATGTTTGCATGCTGGCTTGTGTCATATACACATATGGTCAGAAGTATTTGAACCTCCCTCCAAATATTACGTTTCCAGTGAAGGGGACTGTTAATGCTACAGCATACAAAGACATTGTAGACAATTGTGCTCTTCCAACCATGTGGTGTCAGTTTGGTGAAGACCCTTTTCTGTTCCACCATGACTGTCCCATGTGTACAACCGAGCTCCATAAAGATATGGCTTGGTGAGTTCGATGTGGAGGGACTCGAGTGTCCTGCACAGATACCTGACCTCATCCCTACTGAACACCTTTGGGATGAGTTGAAAGTAGGGTTGCCACCATTTCGTCAAGCGAAACCCGAACACACTCTAGCAACGCAGTGAAATTTTTTGGGGAGAATGAGTTGTGGCTTATGCACATGTAAATAATGCCACCCATTCATATGTAAATATCACAGTTGAGACTATTTTCAGTGGTGGACCAGTAGCCCTATTGTAATTGTGGTTGCCCCGGTCTGCCTGACATCTTGTGTCAGGGATTCTGCTGCCATGAAACCAGGACACAGCATTCAAAACCCGGACTGTCCGGGTGAATCCTGGATAGGTGGCAACCCTAGTTGGAAGATGAATCCAGGCCAGGTCCCCTCATCCCACATCAGCACCTGACCTCAACCCCACTGAACACCTTTGGGATGAGTTGGTACCTGATTGTAGGCCAGGTCTTCTCATCTCACATCAGTACCTGACTTCAACCCCTCTGAACACCTTTGGGATGAGTTGGAACCTAAATCCAGGCCAGGTCTTCTCATCCCACATCAGCACCTGACCTCAACCCTACTGAACACCCTTTGGATGAGTTGGAACCTGAATCCAGGCCAGGTCTTTTCATCCAACATCAGCACCTGACCTCACAAATGCTCTTTTAGCCAAATGGGCCAACATTTCTGCAGACACACTCCAGAATCTTGTACAAAGCCTAACCAGAAAGATGGAGGCTGTCAAAGCCGCAAAGGGGAACCAACTCCATATAAATGTCCATGGTTGTGGAATGGGAAAGCTCATATAGATGTGATAGTCTGGTGGACACAAACCTTTGGCCTTGAAGAGTATACATATAGCAGGGTCTTATGAGGGTTTTGTTATTACAATAGGCAGAAGAGTGTTTTGATTTTAAGCCAACTCTCTTAACCATTCTTAGGTTGACAGCAGTTACCTGGGATCCAATCATTATGAAATGATGGACCCAGAGCCTTACACGGTCTATGAATTCCAGATCCGATACATCCCAGACGAGCATCAAAAAAGCAGAGGTCTGTGGAGTGAAAGTTTTCTGCTCACCACTCCAGAAAAAGGTAAAGAAATTGGGTCGGCCCTCAGAGACCATTCTAGAAGATTTAAGCCTGATTTTACAAAACATGTACTGCGCTGAATGGTATTACCACATCGCGGTTTTCCAACGTATGAGCATGTGTTTTCCACACAATGTATTATTATATTAGTAATGCGGTTTAGTCACTGAGCTTTAATTTAAAAAATATGTTTTTGTACCCTGCAGGCTATTTATTTTGCTGTGCTGCCTATGTTAGACACACCACAGGCTCATTAACTGGTACATGGTGCCACGGTGCAACACACTGCAAATACACCGGATTTGACTTGTTTATACTCATGTTAGAACATAGGATGTATGTTTGGAGCATTACAGTGCATTCAGGAGTAAACATGGCACAGGGGCTGTGATAGAAGTGGCCCTTGCCAACCTCCTTCACCCAGATGCTATTAGTACTTCTTGTGTGCTCCTCTAATTCTCACATCCATGTCTCTTCTCTTTGGTGTTCCCTTCCATCTACATCTCAGTGCTTTACTGTCTCACCTGTCCTCCTCTCCCGTGAGGTCCTCTCTTCTTTTTAACCCATTAATCTCTCTCTCTCTCCTGTCCTCTATTATAACCATATCCTGTGTCCTTGCCTTTACCTCATTACTTCTTGTTTTGTATCACGACTCTGCATTCTCTTTATATTCAAATATTGATTCTTCTATCCTCCTCCACAACTTTTTTTCTTGTGTTTGCCACTCTGTCCCATTACCTCTCTTCTGTGCTCCTCCACATCTTTGTGTCTTGTGTCCTACACTCTATCCCCCTAACCTCTCTGCTCTCCTTCTCCATACCTCCATCTCTTGTGCCCCATTACCCTTTCTCATTTCCTCCTCACTAATCTCAATCTCTTAAATCCTAGACATTACCCCAATACCTCTTCTCCTTATTAATTAACTTAATGTATAGGTTGAACTCGATGGGCTTGTGTCTTTTTTCTACCTAACTATGCAAATTCCATCTCTTGTATCCTTTACTGTATCTCATTAGCCTTTTTTCTGTCCTCCTCACTCATCTCCATCTGTTGTGTCCCCCAGTCTCTTCCATTACTGTCTCTCTTGTCCTCCTCTCCCATCTCCACCTCCTTTCATATATTTCACTCCATCTCTAGTGTTTACTCTCTTTCCTGTCCTCTTCTCCATCTCCATTTCTTGTGTGCACTATTTTATTCTATTACCCTCTCTCTGTCCTCCTCTCCCATCTCCACCTCTTGTGTCTTTCACTCCATTCCATTACTCTCTTTCCTGTCCTCTTCTTCCATCTTCATTTCTTGTTTCCGCTATTCTATTCTATTACCCTCTATCTGTCTGGCTCTTCCATCTCCATCTGTTGTGTCCCCCAGTCTGTTCCATTACCCTCTCTCCTGTCCTCCTCTTCCATCACTACCTCATTCCATCTCCTTCACTCTATCCAATTACTTTCTTTCCTGTACTTTTCTCCCATCTCTGTCTTGTGTCCTCTATTCTATTCTATCACCCTCTCTCTGTCTGACTCTTCCATCTCCACCTCTTGTGTCCTGCAGTCTGTCCCATTACTCTCTCTCCTATCCTCCTCTTCTGTCTCCACCTCTTGTGTCCTCAAGTCTGTCCCATCAACCTCTCCCTAGTGTCCTTCTCTCTTATCTGTGGCTCTTGTGTCCTCTACTCTGTTTCTTACATTTCTTTTATCTCCTCATCATTCATCTTCATCTATTGTATCCATTCCTCTGTTTCATTAACCTCTCTCCTTTTTTTCTCTCACTACCTCTTTTTTTAATCTGTATGTGTTTTTTCCTGCCTGGACATCTTATGTTTTTTTCAGAGAAGGTTCAGCTCTTTCAGATGTTTTTTTTCTTTTTAACAATTTTTATATTTTCATTCTTGTTCTCTACACACTTATTTTGTTTTCTTATAGTTCCTGTTGGGACACTGGATGTATGGAGGGACATGGACCGGGAGAACTCTCTGCTTGTGACATGGAAGGTATGGCTGCTTGGGAGGTTTGTGGGCCCGGCACAAGAATCAGAGATGGAGCTAAGAGTGAGAAAAATAAATAATGGGCAGGAGGTATATTACATCTACTGCAATATCATTTAGTTACATTAAGATAATTTCTATTGCTAGTAACAGAGCCTTGCTCTGTAGGGATGGTATATAGTAGGGATGCACCGATATTTTTCCAGTGCCCGTGCCGATACTTGGCATTTTTATGAGAGCTACCAGGGTTGCAGAGGTTACAGCTGGGACCGGGTTCTGGCGCCCCACCACTGACCTGAAATCATTAGTCTGTATTGTTTTAGAAAAACTGTCACATGACAATAAACAAAAATGTATCAGTACTTGTATCTGTGCGTACTTGGACCAGTATCAGTACTTGTACTTGGAAAAAAGGTATCGGTGCATCTCTTTATATATTTATAAAAACAAAATCATACAATAAAACAGAGATGTACAAATCCCAGGAGCTCCGTGTGCTCCTTACAAATGACAGCTGCCTCCTAACTTTTGAATCTTTCTCTAGTCTAGTATTGGAGCTGGAAAAGTATCTGTACTTGTACCTGTACCGAGTACAGTACTTGGTATCGGTGCATCCCTAGTATATAGGTAGATCAGTAAGATAACATCTGTTCCAGCACTGTCCTCCTTAGGCAATCACATGGGTGGGAAGATTGTAGGAACCACTTGACTAGACTACAGTCTCAACCATAGACCCTGTGAGAGGCTTGCTAAATCTGGCTGCAATAAATGATGTAAGACTGATCCTGACGTTCATATAGATGCAGAATATTCAGCATTAGCAATCCACTATTGGATTTTGTTTGCTGCCTTTGTGTCCCACTGTATAAGTGAATTGAATGTTGCTTATATTCTTTTTTTTTCCAGAATAAATTTTTATTTGTGTCATTTCACATACAATTCCATAAATTACATAATGATATCAATAACCTCTACATATATGGCTATTTCATATCTAAAATTTCTTAATTTCTTCTTAATTACAGGTGAAAAATATGTCATAACAGATGAAAAATACTAGTACTTGTGATTGATTGAATAGTAAACTAACCTTTCACCATTACTTGTCTAGCCATAAAAAGAGAGGGTAAAGAGCATTATATTGTCTGAAATGCCACTCAATTACAGCCCCGTACCTTTTCTCTTACCCTGTTTATTCATAAAAAACCCTATCATACCCACTCCTTCATCCATTGAATGAATGTTGCTTATATTAACACCTGTTTATTCTATTTGTGTGCAGCCTTTGAACCATCATTCTGCCAGAGGTAGAATCCTCAGTTACCATGTGGACTTCGTCTATAACAATACACGTCAGACCACTCAGGAGCCATGTTGTAACATAGCACTGCCTGCTCAGTCCACTCATGTGTGCATCAATGCAAGAAACTCCATGGGACTTGGACCCCCCATTTGTGTCACCCCCTTCTGTTCAGGTAACCTGCTTGTATCCCATTCAAAATTATATTTACCATTTTTATTCTATCCAGTCTAACCGGCATCACTTTGCTGTATCCGTACAGTGGCTGCAGACATGGGTGATTTTGGTGGTAGAGCCTGGGGAGACCCATCAGGGCGTGTGGCAGTCTGGTGGGAAGAGTCAAAAAATAATGGATTTCCTGTAGATTATGTGGTGGAGTGGAGAAAAGACAACAGCACTGAGATGGACTGGACCAGGAGTCAGACAGCCAATCAGATGTTAGTTCTTCCAGGTAAAGGGCAAGACAACTCTTGATGCTTCCTGATCAGTGAGCTGGCCATTCCATGAACACTGGACTTTACCCTACATTGTTATGTCCAAATGATTTACTTCAAATGTAGTCTTCCTTTTTCTTTCTTTTCCTTTTCCTCTTCCCTTCCCTTTTCTTTCCTTTCCCTTTCTTTTTCTTCCCTTCCCCTTCTCCCTTCCTACATATCTATGGCCTTGTGAACCACCTTTGTAATTACCCTGGGGTCATTCAGCCTCCATTTCATTCTTTTCCTTTTCTTTCCCTTTCCTTTTCAATTCCTTTCCTTTTCCTTTTCTCTCCCCTTTCCTTTCCTTTTTCTTTCCTGTTCTTTCCCTTCTCCCTTCCTACAAATCTATGGCCTCGTGAACCATCTTTGCAATTATCCTGGGGTCATTCAGCCTTTATATTAAACATACCTATTTTGCATTGACTCCTGTTGAGCTCTGACACACCCAGGTCTAGACACATCAAGACAAGAGGACATTCAAACCCCTATTCATCAAATTGACTTGTGCTGATGTTTCTGATTTGCCTGCATACATACATAGAGACTTGTTTAGTCCGCAGAGAATAGAAGAGTCCATGCCTCATGGTTGCCAGATTCCAGAACTGTAGGATTCTCCGCAGATCAGACAGATCTCTGATAAATATTCCGGCAAATCAAACACTGAGTCTTAAGATATCATTAAGCTAAAAGAAGTGATACGAGTGCAAACCCCGCCTGACATGTATGTGCACAGGACAGAGTATGACAAGGTGTGTCCTCTTGGAGGCTAAATGTCCCCCATACCATGGATTTCTGTGATACATTGTCTTCATTTCCTTTTATATTGTCAGTAAACATACTGCTTCACTCTCCAGGTAAATTCTCACCCGGCATCCCCTACCTCATTTCCATCCATGCCCTGTATAACGACAGCTGTGTGGAGGTCTTTTCTACCGAAGCCTACGGCCGAGAGGAAGGTGAGCACACATCTAGGGAGAGAGATTCATTGGTGTGCATTACGGGTACAAATATCATCAACCTTACAGACCTCCCTGAGTACCACTGACATCACACATGTGTACAATTTATATTATATAGTCAGGGTTCCCAACCTGAAACAAGCAATTTCAGGGAGGTGCCCTTCTCATTTCAGGGAGGTGCCCTCTGAATCCCCCCCCCCCAATCCACGGGGACGGGGGTGCCTCCCCCCCCCCCCCCCCCCCGGGGGGGGGGGGGGGGGGGGGGGAGGAGAGCACCCCCCTGAAACGATGGCAGATAGCCAGGAAGCAATAGCTTCTTTGCTATCTGCAGGGTTTTTTTTTACTATTCTGGCAGCTGCTGCTGTCAGAATAATAATAATAATAAAAAAAAAGCATAGGAATGCATAGATAGATTCCTATTGGCTATTTCACTTTACAATATCCAATAGCAAGCTGGCTATTGCACGCGCCCTCTGCTGCTGTCAATCACTAGAATGGGACCTGATGAAGAACTTCAGGTTCCCCCTCTGCTGATTGACAGCAGCAGAGGGCGGGTGCAATAGCTAGTTTGCTATTGGATATTGTAAAGTGAAATAGCCAATAGGAATCTACCTATGCATTCCTATGCTTTTTTTTTCTTCTGACTGACGGCGGACGGCGATGTCAGAAAAACAAAACAAAAAAACAGGGCAGGGAAAGGTTTACTCTGCTCGATCGAGCAGAGTAAACCTTTCCGGGAGTAAGTGTTTCTCTCCCTAGAGGGAGACTCCCGGAGCGTCTGGGAGAGTTGGGATGTCTGTATAGTGGAGGCACACTTGTAGAACTTCCTAAAGAGAATCCAGTCACAGTCTTAAAGGTAATGTGCTATCAGAAAAATATGTGGGCTGCTATCACGGACCTCTGCTTCTGAAAATGCAATTGACCTGGCTGTCATGGTGAACCAGTGGTGTCACAAGGGGTTTGCGGCCCGCACCGCGTGACACCATCAGAGGCGGTGACACCAAAACGACTGACCTTGCTGGCATCCATTACCAAGATGGCTGCCAGCAGTAAAGTGCACATGATCATTACACTCGTGACGTGGGCGCCAGGTGACACCCAGCAGCGGCGCCAGGTGGCACCCAGCATACGCACCAGGTGACACCCAGCCTGGTGGCATCCCCGTCAGTACTGCCTGACCCAGAACAAACATGCACATCAGGGGGTCCTGACTTCATTTTTTGCATGCTTGTTGTGGGTCAATGCACTAAAATTATTAAATAGCTAGGCAACCAGCATTTTCAGGAGACCAGTAATGGACGCCCATGCATCTCTCTGGGCACTGGTTTCTTTTACATTATTATAGCCATGCAGGCTTAATGATTAGCAGTCCTGGGGTCCTTGGTTCAAATCCCAACCAGGACACCATCTGCATAAAGTTTCCATGTTTTCCCTGTGCTCACTCCGGTTTTGTCCACACTCCATAGACATGCTGGTAGGTTCATTGGCTCCTTGTGTAAACTGGCCCTAGTATGTGTCTGAAAAAGGGACCGTAGGGTGTAAGCTCCTTGGGGGCGGGGACTGGTTACAATATATACAGTGCTGCATAAATTTATGGTTTGATTATATAAATGCCTGAGATGAATACATTTAGTTTTACCTACTTTAGGGTGATATTGGTAAAGAGTATCACGTGCAGGATTTTAATTAGTATGTGTCTTCTGCTCTTCTTATGAGTAAAAGTGGCATTTTCGAATCACTAAGCCTTCTTCATGCCAAGGCGTTGAGCTAACATGGTAAAACGCATTACAGTGCACTGCAGAATACAATGTGCACTGCATTGCAAAAAGATGCAGCAGGGCCTGTTTTTTCTGTGCGTTGAGTTGCATTATAGGTCCATTCCATTTGAATGGGCTGCCTAACTCAACGCTCTTGACACTGGCGGAACTACTAGGGTCGCAGCGGTGGCAATTGCGACCGGGCCCTGGCGTTCCGCCACTTGGTGGGGCCCAGCGAGGAAGAAGAGGGCCCCCCCCCTAGATCGTGCCCCTCCTTCCCTGCCACGCTGCCACCTGAAGCATGTACGGGCGGCTGTGCGGCTGGGATGGAGAGGCTGTCACTGGTCCCGCAGAATGTGGTGCAGGCACCGCCGGGCAGCACATGTGAGGACCCTCTCATCTTAGCCCCGCCCCCTGGCCGCGGAGACGAGGAAGAGGGCCATGCAGGAGACGGAAGGTAAGTCTGGAGTGGGAAAATTAGGATGATTATACAGCAATGCAGAATAGCTCCAAC